GATTTCTGTTCGGACAAAGCCCTTATCATTACTTACTTGTTTATCTCGATTTTTCGTTATCTCGATTTTTGTACGACTCCCGGCGACTTCGAGATAACGAAAGTCGACTGTACTTTCTGAAGAAAAAAAATGATGGTTTGTCTTGTACCAGTTTAAAAAATGACAAGTCCACAAAAAGATATTAGAATGGAAAGGGTAAAGAACTATTCATTGTAAAATTGTAGTCAATTTGTTGAATATATCCAAATATAGTACATATAGATGGCGTTAATTTACTGTACCGGATGAACTTGGCTGTTTTTTTTCTGCCTAGGTTGGCTATGAAATTTATTGGGTTTATATAACGATTCAATTTATAACAAATGTTTGTTTTTCATAACTTATGTGTTTTCTTATTTCGGTTAAAAGTGAAAATCATAATTGTAGTTTTCCAATATTTACTAATTTTATTAATCGGATTATTTTTGCATTATTTGTCGCAATCTTTCGTTGCTCGAGTTATGAATTTAATGGAAATATACCGAGATTAGAAGCTTAAAAAGTTTATGAAAATAACGTTACGGGATTGTTGTTTTTCTCCGAGCCATGTGTGTATATATATATATATATATATACTAATATAAGTCCGCTAAAAACTATATATTGTTCATTCAGGGAACTATTTTCGGTGGCGGAGGTATGTTTTTTCGCAACTTTTCAACTTAACTTTTCTTTTACAAGTTATTTTCTTTTGCCGAATGACTATCTTAGAATTTAATTAAAAAAAAATGTTGATTTTAACACAAAAAAAATCGTGTTATTTCACAAAATATGATTTTTTTTTGTAAATTCAAAATCTAAATTTTCTACCTTTATATGAAATATACTATTTTGAAGACGACTAATGTTTATTTATTATTTAAATAACTTAACTTATATTTAAATTCATTATTTATTTGTGTATATATTATTTCGCATAATTATGATGTAACTGCAGTAGTATTTACACGATGACAAAAAGAAATATCCGTTCATGTTCGAGTGTAAACCGGTTTGAAGTCGTGAAAACTAATTTCTTACGATATTTACTTGATAAACAAGAAAATAAAGAACACATATCTACAACATAGGTTTAAAGATGAATAACTAAACAAGAAAGATGTATTGTATAGAAGAGTATTTTAATGTTGGCTTTGCTCGTGACTTTTGTAAATTGTACACACATTTTTATGAAAATGTGTATTTCTATCATCTTTACAACTTATGCATTTCATTTTTTTTTCATTTTTAATTCTACCGAAATCATTACTACATGTTGATATTAAACTGAACTGTCAATGACATATTTATTTTAAAATTATAGATAGCAATATCTTATTCACAAGAAATAAAGAACAAGTCAGAACTCAAACAATAAAAGCAATTTAACTTCTGTTATGTCATGAAACAAGTTTCTCAAATTTCAAAACTTTACGGAATAATTCCTATATATATGTGTATTCTTATGGGTTCTTTTATGATTCATGAAAAATTAAATACATGTAATTTTTTGAATCACACACTCGCGCACCACCTCACGCACGCTCTCACTTATTCAGACAATCAGTCACTCACTCGAACGCACGCACGCACGCACGCACTCACTCACTCACTAGTTAGGATTGTTGAATTACGTTTAAGTCGCCTACGCTGTATTAGGCTAATCAGTTATGACGGTAACATATGTTATTTCTATACATTTTGGCCTTGAAATAACATAAGCTTTGCGTTGTCAATTATTGTTTTGCATAAAAATTTGTATTATACCAAAAACACTGCGTAAAACCAAAGAATGCGTGATCGATGAATTAATCAGTTTGAAAATCGGCCCCCCCCTGGCTGTTCTCTTAACCTCCCCGAATATTAAATCCATTACAAACTTATCACTTTTCAATCAAAGTTTGTCAAAAACATACATGTACTTGTATTTTTGTTTGTTATCTGTTACTTCAATCAGCAAGTCAGTGCAAATGTTAATTTTAAAGAAATTTAATTAAAAAAGTACATATTATCAACCACGGATGACTTTATCTGATAAAATATTTAATTTGAAGCTGATGCATAAAATACCTGTCGTTTAGTGGTTAACATTTTTCAAGCAAGGAATCATGGGGGTTCAAATTTATCTTTAGTTATTTTATTTCCAAAACTAAATAGGACGTCGACTCGGAAATGAATATTATAATGTTTACGAGGAGTGTGACAATATGAATGCAATTTACCCTTGGCCATTTACAATAAAGCATTTACTGTACTCAGATTAAAGTACTCTCGCCTTGCCTGTAGGTCAGACACTCACATTGATATTTCCATAGACTTACATTATAAGAAATGGTCCCTAATCCTACCTTAAAATTGACTTTTCATGCTAAAGAGGTGATTTTTCTAGCAGAATGAAATGCCTGACACATAAAAATGTTCCTGCTATATAGGGGTAGCCAACCATTTTTTTTGCAAAATGACTTCAAAGAGGATTACCCCCCCCCCATTTCATTGAAATTTTCTGCTGATCACAGGACTGACATACACTTTTTATAAATGCAAATATCCAAGTCAAAATTATCATAGAGACTCATGAAATATTTCATTTTCTTCAGAAAACAATGTAGTGTTACTTTTTAAATTAGTTTTTATACTTAAAAATACCCCATTCTCATCCAATCACCTCATGTATAAAGTGATTCATACGGTTTTCCCTGCACTTTTTTTTTCAGCCAATCGCTGGCCATGTTACAATGCGATTCCCTGACCTGTACGCAAAGTTTCAATCATTAAACACATTGCAAAAGTACTTTTTCATTGTCCTCAAATTGTATGCCCTAAAGACACTGGACCCCCCCCCCTGCCCGGGAGCCGGCCTCTTTACGAGAGCTTTAGCATCAAAAGGCAAAGAATTTCATTTATTGAGAGAGGCATATCACACGGGGACACGTATTTAGAATTATACTTTTTATCTATCTGTGTTTGTGTTTTTTTTAACTAACGAGTCTGAAATAAGTCTTGTCCTTGGTGACAAGACATTGTCATTTTGCAATACTTATATTTCGACGCCTTGAAAGATAACGTGTGTTCAACTGTTGTTACACAATCTTGAACAGGAGCTTAACGAAGAATGGTCTGGTAACGCGCAATATAAACCCTTCTCACTGCAATTAAAAATGTCTCGGTATAACGCGGTATAGTTTTGCTAAACTAAACGCAAATTATGTAAATGTTCAAGAAATGGGCGAAAATTAAATACAAGAGCAAAAATGATAATTTAAACAACATGATGTTCTTTAAAAATCTTTAAACTTGTGAACAAAAGATAATTATTTCAGAACATCATGTTATTAAAGCCATGATCTGGTGAAAAACAGAGATTGCTTGCTCAGAATATTTGCCTATCTATTCGAAAGATCCTGATTTCTTCAATAAAATGTTGTATTACAGTAACTTTTATAGCGCTGCTATCAATAGACCATCTAAACGTTAGAAATACATATTTTTCTCTTTGATATACGGGTAATTTTCCCTATTGCATGTTTGCATAATTTCAACCTATCAACGGGAATCTACTTAAATACACGGAAATAATTTTATTACTTTGATACCGTGTAAGTAACGGAAAACATCAAACAAAATCAACCCATTATCATAATTCTAGTCATTAACTAAGGTAAGTATGTTATTATGAAAAATAATTAAAGTAAGAAGTAACAGTTGCAAACTCAGCATCGTTCTGCTGTTGATATTCTAATATAATGGCATTTAAATATACCGTATTATGTAATCGGTACTTCATAAGCGAACTTTACCGAAGTAGGACGGAAATGGCCGGATCTTGTCACGATTTACGAATATCCTGTACAGTTTCCCAACGTATATAAAACTTAAAACGACAAAAAATACTATGAATAAAAAAAAAATAGAAAAATTTAAGGATTACCACAATGGTTATAACTATAAAACCACAAGAAAAAATAATGAATAAGCGATCTTTTTAGGAGATACCATATAACACTTATCTTATGTACTAACTTACATTCTATATACTTAACATATCGATCTATAGTTTTATTTAATGTTCTATAAAGCTACTATACAATGTCAGTTCTAAAATCAGAACGCGGCAGTATATCAATGAAAAAACCAAACTGATAATTTTATGAATGTATTTTTAGCCATTAAATTTAGCCATTAAATCTTATACGAGCCACTGTCACCGAATCCCGATAATTGAAGTCGAATTTCTCGTTCAGGCTTTATAGTTTATTTTAACTAACTTTCAAATACTTTTCACAAATACATCGTTTAAATACAAATCCGTTCTTAACTTACATCAGTTTACCATTTCAGTTTATAGGAGAATATTTAAACACAACTACATATATATATATATCATTGTTATGTTATTATTTAAGATATGATTTTTTTACAAGTGTTAGTAAAATAAGTTCTAAAATGTCATTGAATTGTTAAACAGTAATAAAAATCCCATCGTATTTAAACCAGTTGTTAATGTGCATTTTAATTGCGAGAAACATCAGGTTTATCACGCATAATGCGCGTGTATTACATGTACTACTTTTGTTTTTCAGTTAAATCAAACCATTAATTTTCGTATTAAAACTGGAAAATTAACATTAAATTGTAATAAAAACATAGAGCTACTTTATTATGTTTTGTTTTATAATCGAGGTCCCAGTTCCGAAGATATTTCTCTTATTCAGAACTTTCAGAACTTTATTCGGAACAGGATCCACTTATAGAGAACATTTCCAAATTGTCGTCTGCTAATCGAACGCTCGAGAACAATTTGTATACAAAATATTGTTTATTTTGCATAATATTTTAACTACCTCATCATGTGACGATATTGTGACTTGTGGTTGAAGTTTGTATTACTTTCGTTTTTCCACCAGCTTATAAACATATGTTGTGGTAATCAATGAAAAATGATGAAATATCTCATCATGCATTTGTATATACATGTATGTATGAGTGTGTATTTAATCCCACAGAAACGTATATAAATGTTCTGTATTTCAGAGTACAGCTAGACGTTAGGATATAAGACTCTGTATTAGGAATATAACAGAATAGAACCGAACGGATTATTGGATAATAAGGAAATAAATTTTACGTATAGAAGATAGAAAAGAAACGTGAGAAATATGGAAAACGACGCACTAACAGCGGGGGAAGATAAACATATGGCTGGTGAAGAAAAACAAGTATCATTGTGCATACGTTTTTTAAGGAAAGTTAGAAGTGTGTTCTTGAACAACTTACTGTTATTTTCAACTTTGATTGGCGTAGCTTTTGGCTTTTTGGTTGGATTTGCAGTGAGAATTTCTCAGCCGTCAGAAAACGCTCTCATGTGGCTTGGTATGTAGAAACATTTGAGCAGCGTCACGACAAAACCAACATAATGGGTTTGAGACCAGCATGGATTCAGACCAGTCCGCGCATCCGCGCAGTCTGATCAGGATCCATGTTGTTCGCTATCAGTTTCTCTACTTGTAAAATGGATGGTAAGCGAACAGCATGGATCCTGATCAGACTGCGCGAAGGCGCAGGCTGGTCTTGATCTATGCTGGTCGCAAACCCACTATGTTGGTTTTGTCATGATGCGGCTCAGTCATATATTTTAAAATTAGATCTAATAATAGTTTTTGAAAAATGACACTTGGGGATCAGGCCCTATCCCCTGGCTTTAACCACCCCTGTAAACGGTCATTATAAAACTTGTTATGTTTATACACAAATTGGCATCTGTCTTAATCAATAATATTGTTCATAAGAATGAGTAAGGAGAGAGTTTCATATAAGCTTTAAGCTTTATACTCAACCCTGAATGCAATTTATTTTTTGTAATTTTGTCTGTAAATATTGATGAAGAAATAAATATTGTTTAAACCAAGAATAAGTACCGTCAAGTCTAAAAAAGTCCAAGTAACTGGCAGTACAACAGAAACAGTCGTTAGAAATAAAATGCCTTACTGAAAAACTGTCCGAATAATTAAAACAGTTTATGGTATGTCAAAATAAATATACATTGTTTATAACTTAAGTTAATACATTTAAACCATATAGATACCTCCTCTTATGTGTAAATTTGAAATAATAAATACACCACGGAAATAAGATGTTTTGAATAACATACTATTTGGTATTGTATTGTTGAGGGTTGTCCCAAAATGTCGTAGACTACATTATTTTCTCTTCAACCTGACGTCATAACTTATTAAAATTTACCAGATATCTTCCTTGGTCATTTGTTAATTTACCTACTGAAAGTCAATAGCCAATATATTAGGTAACGCTTTTTATTAGGGTTTTATATTTAACAGTACAACATACCCGGAGCACGATAAAATATTAGTCAGTGTTGAGAGCATGCTTCTTACAATAATGCCTTTAACTTCCAGCATAATAATAATTATGGGAAATACATTCATGTGGAATTACCTCATTCATTTTTACGTCATATCACCAACAGACGTTTATGTAACGTTAATTTGAAAAAGTCTGTAACAAAATACGTAACAGCAGTGCTATTTTGAAAACGCCCAAAATGGCGACGTCAGATGAAAATGCGGCGCAACGCAATGTCACTGAATACTATGTTAAGTTGAAGAAGCGTCCAGCGTTAATTGACAACATGGAGAACATTATATTTTATCAAGATAATGCACCTTGCGATAGATCTAAGGAGACACAGATTGAACTTGATGTGATAGGTTTTCAGAGACTTCCGTACGCCCTAAGACTTTGCAGTGTTTCTTTATTTGAAATCACAATTACGAGGTCACATGTTCGAAAACTTCAGCGAACTCCGCCAGGAAACTCAACTCTGCGAGTGTTGAGTACATTGAAGCAGGACTGTTTTGAAAACGTTTATGATAAAATTGGGTTACCCCACACTGTCAGTGCATCGCGAAACACGGTGAATACTTTGAAATTTTTTTTAAAAAATGTTATAACGTCATGACGTTTATGACGGCGTGCGCCGGGTATGTATAGGTAGCATTCTTTAAATTTTGATAACTTGGTCAATTTTGGAGGTATTTTGATTTTATTTTGCATAGACACACAAAAAAGGTGTATTGACTTTTCCCTAGCTGGATGACTCAATTGTATTATAATTGATTGAGTAACAGGCTTTGTCTACGATATTTTGGGACAACCCTCGTATTGTCATTTTTAACTTTAGTTTAAAGGTTCTCAGACTGCATTATTTTATTGAGTAAAAAGTCGTTACACTATTTTATTGCTGAAATAAAACCATTAACCATTTTATTATTAGTTTAAAGGCGCATGAAGCCCTAACATGACATAATTTTCATTGCTTAAAAATCATTTTTTTATTTTTTGGTTTCCTGTTGCAATTTTCTAAAAAAAGGTACTCATGGACCATATTGCTGAATCACCTGTTACCAATTTTGCTTTTTTGGCAGTTTAGTACAATTCAAGTGGATAAGTTATTTTTTTTGTAAAATTCGTTTGACAGTTAAAATACCACTTTGTTTGTTAAATCAATAATTTTACATTCAGCGCTACTAGCTTCTGGTCACGTGATAAGTGTCAAGGTTATATGATTTAAAATCCATTATTATAACATTATTCAACACATGGCTGTTCCTACGAAGTAAGAGCGCGTTTCTTATTTCAAAGACATATTGTGCCTTTAATGCAACCTTTGAGAGTTGTAATACATATTTAGGATAATGGATATTCTTTTCCCCAGTAAATTTATCATTTAATAGTGCTTAATGCATAAATCGTTTCAAAAGTTAGAGCGAAAATATACGTATTCACAATTATTAACTATGTCAATTCAGTTATGAGAGCGAGTGATTTTTTATTTCTAAAACTTCGTTACGTTTTGTTATCATTCCGTTTAATATAAAACTCCAGATTTTCTCTAAAATGTTTATTTTAATTTCATGAAATATTAGATCTACATATTGTTACTGCATTTAACTAGCTGATACCAATAATTCATATTTATAGTAAGTAAACAAAAAGGACAAGTACCTTTAAAATATATTATCAAAACATCACATTTCATTTATTTTCCGGTTGTCATATAAAGGAGACGTGTAAGATATATTTACAGGCAAACTAATTTTATTATTTTGATCACATATAATACACCGAAACCTTATATATACATAACTGTAGATATTTCATATGATATATAAGTAAATCATATACTTGCACATGTATAAAGCGGAATAATACATTTCACAGTCTTCAATATCAAATAGCCCAATAAGGTTTTATATTATACCATATATATTTCACGTATTTTCCGTTTTCAGTTGTTGTTTTTTTTTGTCTGTATATAACCCTATATTTATTTTCTGAAGATATGATTTCATACTTTCGGTGTAGATATCTATATTTCTAAATGGATAATTAAAGAAAGTAGACAATAATTAAACAAATAGAACAGAAATAAGAACATATGAAACAAAAACCAGAACATGTGAACGAAAGACGTTAACACGAAAAATAAATCAGAACAGAATAAACTTTAATCTTAATTTAGATGAAAATAGTACACAAACGAATAAAATTATACATGTATATATACTCGTACATACAAAATTGATTGAATTGTAAACTCATAATAATTTAATAACAAAAAAAAAGAAAATAAGAACACATCAAATGCATAGCTAAAGATAAATTGATAGAAATAATAATTTTCTATTAATAATTATTAATATGTTAAAACTTTGCGAATTAAAAAAATTAAACAAAATAAGAATGAATGCAAGTATGATCATAATGTGTGTTTTATTAACACTTTATTTTTCTCAAATGTAGGCAAATTGACAATATTTTCAAATATATCAGGGGTATAATTCTGGTTAAGAACGCAGTCATTTTTTTACCTGATCATTTATTTCTAAAATATGACTGGCTTTAACATCGTACAATGTAATATAGATTCTGTTAAAACAAAGTTATCACCATATGGCGCCTTAACATATGTTAACTTTATCAATGAGAATGTATTATACATGTATATTTTAATTGATAGCGATATAATTACCACTCTCATATGATTTTTTTTATCTATTACTCGTATTTTTTATACATGTATACTAGTATAATAATATAATATAACGTTAGAATATTGGGGTAATATACGATAAGAATAATATAATGTTGGCTAATATTGAATACCATAATTAAGTATTTCAATTAAGGTCAATATTTAATCGGATATGCCATTTTCTATATAACGGAAAGATATTATAGTTTATTATACATTGTATATCGTAACGTCAGTCCGTCCGCTTAGCTCAATAGGGAGAGCATCGAATTATAATAATTCCAGGTAGGCTTGTTCGAAACTCTGGCGAGGCGGAATTTCTGGACACTTAATCTTATGGTCATTTGTCTCTCATCGGGTATAGAATTAGTCTTGGTAAAGACTTGTTAGTTATCCAGGAAAGCCAGTTAGTTTGATTCACCTTCGAAATAAGAATAAAGATGTGTTAGGCCTATAATTGGCATACAATCTAAAACAACAACAGCAGCAAGAATAAAAAATAAATAAATAGATAAATGAATAGAAATAAATAAATAAATGAATAAATGAATAAATAAATAAATAAATAAATAAATAAATAAATAAATAAATAAATAAATAAATATCAAATAAATAAATAAATAAAAATAAATAGATTAATTTAAATAAATAAATAAATAGTAAATAAAAATAAATAAATAAATAAAATAAATAAATAAATTAGACTCAATGCCAGGGATAAGTTGTCACGGACAATTTTCACCTCCTCCTAAAATGTATTTTACATGTATTTGAATTTATTTTAATGTTCTTGTTTTTCAGGATTGCCTGGTCAGTTGTATCTACGTTTGCTGAAAATGATGATAGTACCTTTAATCGCGTGCAGTGTTATATGTGGTAAGTTAAAGATGCTGTATGTTGTAACTGAGGTTGCATACCACACTTAAGTGAAATTATATATATGTATATAATTATGCTTATAAAACAATTTTCAAAGGTCGAAGAATATGTAAAATATGTACTGCAAATATTTGTACATATTATATGTAATTATTAAAATATATGCATTCATTTCTTATTGAAAAATTTGACTTAGACTTTATAGAAAATAATTTTTATTACCTCCCTTTATTTACATGAAATTTAAAATTCGGTAATATCTTTATAAATAATGCTTTTTGGAACTTGCAAAATTAATAATCTTAATTTGAGCATCATATTTATGATGTAAAACCATAAAAAATTGTGTTACAGGATGTATGCTATTATTATACATGCATAATTATATCATTACATTACTGTTGTTTTTGATATCACGACTTTAAATCACTGTCCATGCGTTGATATCAGTGGATATCATTCATACTAAAATACGTGATTTGATTAATGATATAATCTTTGATATCATATATCGTACTTTCTTACTTTTTCACGCACTTTGAAATAATTACAACGTGATTGAACTGATGCAATTCTCGAACAACACTTATTTGTACTTATTTTCTAAAATTGATATATATCGCATGTTAGATACACACTCTATGAATTATTCAACTTTCTGATATATATATAAATGAAAGGGTTTTTGGTTTTGCTAAAAAAAGACGTTTTCTCTTTACAAACTTTATTCAGTTTACATACACTGTTATTTAAATCGCATTTAAAATTAAACTCATTATATCATTGTAATGTCATGACGATATTGATGGTGTCAAATTCTTAAAACTGCAAAGTCTTATTTCAAATTGTAGTGTAAAACAGCGTATTTAGTAAAGCGGTAAAAATGACATAGCAAAATTGTAAAACTAATTAGTCAGCAGGTGCACATTTTAATGATGAGATTATGTTCATTTATAAAGAAAATGCTATTTTTGTGGTAGATTATATCAACACAATATAAAACATCGTTTCTGTTTTTTGTTCCCTCACAGGCGCTGCTGCCCTTGACCCAAAAGCCAATGGGAAGATTAGTTTTATAGCATTTGTGTTCATTATTTCCACCAATGCACTCGGCTCCGCCCTGGGAATCGGCTCCGTTTATATGTTTAATCCAGGTAAGGCAAAAAATGTTTCGTCTTTTTGAGTAAAAACAAATAGTATAAAATCGTCTAATTGACTGGTTTTTTTGAAACATTGATCTGCTAAACAGAAAGTGATTAGTACTTGCCATCCTTGATGTATGATCATTACTAGTACTTGCAATCCTTGGTGTCTGTGATCATTAGTTCTTACCGTCCTTAAGTCTGATCCCTTAAACTTGGAGTTGAATATACAGAAATCGGAGAGGCCAAATTCCAAGACCTCTACTGACACGCTTTTGATATATTTTTACGGATTGCTGGTCACTTGGTTGAACAAAAATGTGCAAGCTCGAAGCTGGATTTCGTACCGTCAGGGCTTAATTCTGGGAAACATATCATCCCGAGATACACTTAAGTGAAATAAGAGTATCTATGTTACAGGTTTTAATGGTTAGAAAAAAAATATTATTATAAAAAAATGAGAATTTACATTATTCTTTCATTTTGAACATTTGTTCGCCAAAATAATCGAACCATTTTGCAAAATGTCTCTTCATTAATTTCATTGGAATTTTTTTATAGAATTATACTGTTGTAAGAGCTCACACATTCAATTATTTTCATATACCCCAAGAGATATTTAAAAGAGATTAATTATTTTTCAGGTAAAGATGAAATCCACGAGCAAGATTCTGTTATAGAAGGAACTATGCAAACCCAGGATATCCTGGCTGATCTGATCAGGTAAAGTTCGAAACATAATTTGCAGTACTATTCGTATATTATCATGTCGTCTTTTTATACGTGTATTGCCCGTAGAGTATTTAAAAATGCTAAAGTACAAGTAAAAAAGACCATAAAGATTTTAATGATTTTCATGGCTTAGTTGTAACTGGGATACCAGTCTATTTTTGAAATATCAGTTCAAAATATCTATTTCAGACGAGGTATCGTTTTTATATTTTGTTTTTTGTTTTCTGAATCAAAATCACGTCTATATTAGTATCTTTTCTATCAGCAGAATTTGTAGGTGTGCAAGAATGAAAGTATTATAATGTATTTTGTCACCATCGCCCCATCCCAAGCGTCTATTCCCTTGGTTGAAGTGCATCAATTATTGCGCCTTAAGTTTAAAGTTATTGTTTAACCTTGTTCAAACTGTATACTATTTTCAGAATTAATTGCTATCGTCAGAAAAGCATACACTAGATAATTGATTATTTCTACACTGTTGTCTGTAATTTTACTGCTTCTCTTTCAGAAATATCATTCCAGAAAATCTCTTTGAATCAACATTTTCACAGACTCAAACGATGTATAATGTAAAAGATAAAATAATTGAAGTTAATACAACGACTGGTATGAAGAATGAAACAGTGAAACATGTCTCTAAATATCTCGGCAAAATGGGCAATCCCAACATCATTGGTAATTTTTTATATCATGATTTAAATTAAGCATAATTTTTGATGTTGAAAATGTAAATGTGCACATTTGCAAAACTTTGGCGTGTTTGTCCTTTTTTTTTATAACATTTTAACATTTTGTATTTGTAAAGCGTTTTAATAATCTTTTCAAAGGTGGGGTTTCTAAATTTGGCTCAAGCACAAATGCATGAACATGTATATTCATTTCGCAGAACAGTCAGAAATATCGCAGTTTAACATTATATGGTTTTATTAGAAAATAATCTCATCCGTGGCGTCTGATCATAGTCTATACTGTTCGCTTTTCTGTCAGGACATAAATTTGAAAAAGCCCAAAAATATGTTGAATGGTTCTGTTTTGTCTAAATTGAAAGACGGACAAGACTATTTGATATATTTCGCGTAGTAGTCTCTAATGAAGGTAATACAACTACACAAATTATAACAGACTCCACAGCATTTTGTCACCCTATTATCACTAAAACCATCTTTTTTGCCGCTCAAGAGAGTACCGATAATTTTCAGAATTTATTTGATTTGTTTTTTCCCCTGCAGGTTTGATATTTGCATGTACATTACTTGGTCTAGCTGCAGCAAGTTTGAAGAAGAAAGGGCAACCATTTCTTGACTTTATACAGTCTGTATCTGACACAGTTATCGTGGTTGTCCGCTGGTTTATGTGGTAGGTATCAGTGATACACTGTAGCACTATTTTCCTCGATATTTTACATTTCAATAGAGAAAAATGGAATTCCTAAAGAACGCTCAAAACGTCAAAATTGAAAATGTTGCAGGCTCGGTTTGATTGAGCCTATTCTTGGACGGAACTAAAGTGCATGTTAAGCCGGTGCTAGGGGGGCGTGAGGGATGTTGCACTTATTCATTATCCCTCATGTCAAACATAACATAAGTAGGAAGTACACCTTATGATCAATTATTCAGTAAAATACAATGTTATATTTTTACTATTATTTCAGGACAACACCTATTGGTGTTATAAGTCTGATTGCCGTGTCAATAGCTAGTATAGACAGCGTGGAAGAAGTTTTTGCTCAATTAGGACTCTTCATTGTGGCAATCACTGTTGGTATAACCTTCCAGCAGCTGATTCTAATGGCGGGAATTTTCTTTGCATTCACTCGCAAGAATCCATACAGTTATCTTATCTCTATAGCAAGACCTTGGATGATTGCCTTTGCTGCAACAAGCACGTAAGTCTCATGTTTTGCCTTATTATATATCACCAATTATTTTCAATTCAGAACGTCGTTGTTATGTTTAAAAAAATCAAAACTAAGCAAAACATATAGGATATAGTTGTATCTTCCGAAATGTATTTGACGCTCAGTGAATATTTTGGCAGATAAGAATAACAACAACAAAAAACCAAACCAAAAAAAAACAAAAAACAACAACAACAACAAACTACAACATACAACATGTCATCGCAGATAAAACGAAAAATTATAACCGCATTGCAAAAATTGAACTTTTTAAGAGAAAGTTAAACGTAGGATTTTCAAATCGTTTTTTGCGAGTACGTGACAACATGATTTTAACTGTAAACATGACAAAAATATAGAATCATTATTTCCCTGTTTGCAAGCAGAGAATTTTAAAGTTTGATTTGCTTCAATACCTTCAGTTATTTCCTTGTATATTTAACATTTGTGGTGGTAAAAAAAAAAATAAAAATGATAATCAATCTAAGGGAAATAACTCATATTACTTACAATAATTTCTGATCAGAGTTATCTCGATGATTGTTTCAACATCTAACTAACTTCTGTATTTTATTTAACAGTGCCGTTGCTATTCCGGAGATGATGGCGGCTTGTGAAGATAAAAACAAGATTGATAAAAGAATATCTCGTTTTGTTATACCGTTCAGTGTAACCATCAGTTGTAACGGAAGTGCTCTCTATATATCCGGGGCCACTGTTTTTATAGCTAACTTAACCAATACCAGTCTGACAATCGGAGATGTTCTCCTTATATGGTAGATATTCAAATTTGTCTTTTTATACTTACATAAATAACGTATTCATCCATGGAAAGCATTAGTGGCGGGAAATGATGCTTTGCACACCATTGGACTAGCTAAGTGAATCTGTTTATTTACTAGCTTCACATAAATTATGACAAAGGTATGACTGTCTGACTATTGACACCTCTAATGGCTACTATATTAATACATTTATTTTCTATCAAAATTCCTGAATGTACTGATTGGACATTTAAAAAGTGTAAAGATGACAATTTCATTTTGAAAATTCAGTAGCACTAGACAAAAGTTAAACATATTACATATGTATGTTTGAAAAAAAGACCCTAAACAATTCAAGCTTTGAGAGGAGTAATTGTAATTTGAATGTAATTAAACAGAGACAATGAAAAGACTTAAAATACATGTATATGACTTATAAAAACTGATACATTTATGAAATACACGTATTTAAAGAAATTGGCTTATGTACGTATACGATAATGTAATTAATTGTAATGTCTTATATGTTTATTAGGTTATTAGTGACAGTGGCTGCAATGGCTATACCATCAGTACCAAGTGCAAGTATAATGACTACCATCATGATCCTATCGTCCATGAACATACCTATGGATGATATAGCTCTACTGTTGGCAGTAGAATGGTACCTGTAAGTAGTTTACGTCATCTTATTTGACACCAAATTAAATTAACTTTTATAGTTAGAAAAAAATATATATTAAAAAACCTATGTGTTACATAGTTAGTTTTCCTCTGACCTAAGATGATATTAACAATTCAAATTTTGCCATGGCAACACTTAGTAAATATATATCATAGCAGAGGCTGTACAATAAGTATTATAAGCTTGTTATTCATGTTTTCCTGATTGATTATTCAAACAGACAGAAACTTGTCTTTTCCTGTCAATTCTAAAATAAATACATGTTACATATACCTAACTTACATTTAATTGGATTGAAACAAACAGTCTTAACATAATTAAAATTAACATATTGCTTAAGCACTTACAATATGAGCGTTGTTTGTCGTACTTCTTGAACGTTTTCGTTCTTTTCTTATTTATAATGGTCTCATTAGAGACAGTTTCTGTTGCATGCTAGCTTTAAATCAAGTCTACAACATTTCCAATTTTGCCGTGTTGGGCTTTCTTTATGGATTCTGTTTTTCTCCATTTTTATGCTGAACTTACTGAAAATCCAATGTGAGCTTTGTTTGTGATACTTCATAGCTGTTTTCATTCTTTCTTATTTAAAATAATCATTATAATCAGTTTCTGTTGCATGCTTATTTTGAACCGAGCCTGCAACATTTTCAATTTTGCCGTGTTAGGAATTCTTTAGGGATTCTGTTTTTCTGAACTGTCAGAAAATCCACTGATTTTTAAACAAAATATATATTTGATTTTAGGGACCGAATTCGTTCTACAAGTAGCGTTGTGAGTCATACATTTTGCACAGCTGTCGTGTATAGTTTGTGCAAGAAAGATTTAGCTGAGATAGATAGAAAACATGTTGAGAATGGTGATGATCTTGATGATGATGATGATGACAAAGAGATGGAAATTATTGTGGAGAATGGTAAAGTTACAAATGGGTACTTACATCATAATGGTGTGAACGAGAAAGAGTCAGTTATATAAATGCTAATTTCAAAGCATTTTGGACCAAGAGACAGTTTTCAAAAGGGAGGGCTTGAAGGCGGACACAATTAGCAGATGTTCAAAGACATATTAAAACACACATCAATTGTTCATGTTTGTGATTAATTCAGCTTAAGGCGGTGCTGGGGGGAGGCAGACTGCAGCTTGCATTTTCTCACTGTTTTCATACATTTGGTGTTTGGAATGCTTAATAGAATAGATACTATGTTTCTATTTTGTAAAGGGGTTCAACCATATACTGTTTTATATCAGAACCATAAGGAAACTAAACTTTTGCTGAGGAAAACAACTAAAAAGTATTATTGCCCATGAATGGGATGCCGGGGCTTCGTTTCTGACATGGAAAAGAACCAAATAAGTGATATATAATATTTTTGTTCTTTTTACTTTGGTCTATGGAATCTCTTTGCCAATTTTGTTGATTTAAATGAACGTGATAATTCTATTAATAGATCTGAAGAATGGGAAAATAGTATAAAGCAATTTTGTGATCTTAATTTTGTGTAATCTATTGATTTAGTTTCATTATTTAAAATGAATAATATTATTATATAATAATGATTCATTGATTAGAATATGTATGTAATGTACTTTATAAAACAAAATCTCAACGTTTGAATCTCAGTTATAAACGTAGTCTTGCACAATTTTGTGCGTACAAAAATGACAACAGCACATATGTTTTTATTATATATGTTGTAGTAGCGCAAAATACATTTCGTTATTATCATTATAATTTATTGTCATCTACGGTTTGTAGTTATTTTATTTATTTAATGAATTGTATGAATGTTACTTTGCTCAATTTGCTGTAAGTATCGCTGTTAAGTTTATTTACATGTATATTATATATTTATAATTCATAGCATCTCTATTTTGACAGAGAAACAGTTTACAAGTATGTCATAGGAATAAATATTTTATTGCTAATACTTGCTATTGGGAGTTTTTTTCCCGTTATTAAATTGTAAGTGTATGTTAGCGGATTTTTTTATCCTTACGTTCAAGGTAAAAGTTCACATTCTTTATACGTACTCTTATAATTATGGTTGGAGAGGGTTTTAAAAGTAATACCTATTTTATGGCTGGAGCAAAGTTTCCAATATCACATAGTTTTATTATAGGTATTTAGTAGATAGTATGGACATCTTCAATCATTACTTTTTTATATAGTATATGTAAAGTAAAATTTAAAACCGATGTAATCATGGTACTAAATGCTGAGACAAAGCAAGTAAGATCGCGAATAACATTTATTTATTTACCCTTATATATACACACACATATATTTACATGTACATGTATATTTGAATTGTCTTATTTTATGTTATTTTATTTCATGCCTTTCATGAAATATTTATTTTCATACCACTCGATGAAAATGAATTCTGTATTTATAGAAAAAACATAAATATCATCTATATGTCATTTTGTTTGCGTCACACATCATTGAGTCATTCACCCCGTTTTAGGGGTGAAATGTTACACATTCATTTAAGAAATTCAAAAGGTTAAGGGTTAAAGTTTCTTCGTAACAACAAAAGTCCTTGTTAAATTCGAGGCAGGACAAGATCTCATTGCATACGTCCAGCACGGTTATGGCCATAAAACGACGCTTTACATCATCCTACTCTTGACATTGAAGTTAACAAGTGTACCAATGAACTTTGTAAATTTCGTGTGCAGTTGATAAAATATGCAATGATTTTCGCTTTTGTAAAATAAACATTTTATAGTTACAAAATTTCCCGAAGTTGAGAAATTACAGTTGAAATAATAACATGAGGAATTTAAATTGGCCCTTTCCTGAAGTACTAGTCAACCATTTCATGACATTGGATATTTCAAACAGAATTATTGCATTACATAGCTTACAATATGAAAATAATGCATTTTCTGGATCTTGTAATTTATATGATCTAGATCAACATGACATTAGAACATGTTTACATAGGAATTACACATACATTAAGCATATGTATTCATTAGTTCAGTAATAAATTTAAGAAATGTACAGTATACATGTAAATCATGTACATCGAATATGAACATATAAATAAACATTTATATAAAATAGATGATACATGACTCATCACATGACCATAGATATTTATTTCTAATGTTTATTTATTTATTACTCTTATTGAACATGTGTAAAATGTAGACATCTACATATCACTTATTGTAAAATAAAACTGTTATTTCGTGTTCATTTTGTTGTCTTTCCATCATTTCCCGCTTACACTTTCTACTAGAAAACAAGAGCCGGTTGAACCGGGAGATGCTCCCCAACTAGGTTTTGGACACAGAAAAGTATATATTTTGTAGTTTCAGAGTTATGTCCCAGACAAAGTTCAGTGTTATGATTCCAAACTTAGGCAATGGAGAGTTACTGTTCTTTGCACTGCACTTCTACTCAATGAGATCTATCTACCGACTTGCGCGCAACACGTCGTCTCAATATGTGATCATTTCTGTGAAATAGTTGTAAAATCAAACTTCAAATAAAAAAGTTATGGGCCAGACACCATTTTGTTGAAAGGTCATGCTGTGACCTAGACCTCCAAGGTAGCGACTCAGATGTTGCACGCGACACGTCGTCTCAATATGGTGATTATTTCTGTGAAATAGTTGTAAAATCCGACTTAAAATAACAAAGTTATGGGCCAGACACCATTTTGTTGAAAGGTCATGCTGTGACCTTGTCCTCCAAGGTAGCGACCCAAATGTTGCGCGCGACATGTCGTCTCAATATGGTGATCATTCTGTAAAATAGTTGTAAAATCCGACTTCAAATAATGAAGTGATGGGCCGGACACCATTTTCCTGCAAGGTCATGCTGTGACCTTGACCTTTAAGGTAGCGACCCAAATGTTGTGCGTGACACGTCGTCTCAATATGGTGATCATTTCTGTAAAATAGTTTTAAAATCCGACTTCAAATAACAAAGTTATGGGCCGGACACGATTTTGCTGCAAGGTCATGCTGTGACCTTGACCTTCAAGGTAGCGACCCAAATGTTGCGCGCGGCATGTCGTCTCAATATGGTGATCATTTCTGTGAAATAGTTGTAAAAATCGACTTCAAATAACAAAGAATTTCGGGACATACGGACGGACTGACTGACGGACGGATGCTCCCCCGAAATTTTTAGCTCGATATTGTTTTGAAGAAAAAGACAGAGGTATTTTTTACAGTCATGGCTGCGTTTCCGTTGCATTTAAGACATTTAAGTCTTTTAGTTTGAATCTACAATTTATAGACTTTAGGTATTTAGCACGAAGTATTCCGAGCAGCCAGATATCTATAAAAGATACATTAATCATACCCCTTTGGACAAAACTTGTTTAACCATGCAGAGCAACTTTGTTTACATAGACTTATATACTAGTATTAAACATGACTTAAAATCTCTGTCCCGAAACTACAATGCCTATAGCATACATATTCGGAAGTGCATCGATTTGTAATCCTCTACGAGTAATATAAATCATTACTTCTCAAAAATGGTCAAAATTGGCCATGCCCTGGGAGCCAATAGGTTAATAAATCCGAGGGCTTCTTTAAGATGCATTAGCGCTATTCTTGCACAAAAGAAAACGTCCAATTTCGGAATTAACGGTGATTTTGTTTTCACATAAACCGGTGTCATATACAATTATTTGATTGAAATTACGTGGCTGTCATTGCAGCTATTGTAACATGGCGCCCGAGTCACGCATATTCAATAAGACCAACAACGGCACCTGCTCGCGTCCGTTCGTGCACATATGTGTATATAGTAATTATACAATATTTCTAGTTAAAAAGAATAAACAACATATATACGTATTACATATAACATGAGTAATATATTACTCTGTTAGAAATGTCATATAGAACAAATGTACAAACCAAATTGGCTGAGTAACTTCGCATAATGCTTCAAAACATTTAACAACGTTATTGCAATAGCTAGAGATTTCTTTAGCGAAACGATGTCAAAGGTTAAGCATTAACTGGAAATATCTTTTTAATTCCGCTTGAAGTTAGGTCGCGATAACACGAACAACGACTAACCTGCCATATACAGGTTGAAAATATTTGTCAATTCTAAGGTAATTACAAACGATGATTTGTTCTTGAACGCATGTAGGTACGACAAAATCGAGACAAAACTCATTGCAGGTTATGAGAACCCATGCTATCGAAAAAAAATGCACAGACATATCTATTGTTATATTGCGGACCCATCATCCCCTTGGCATATGCAGTACAAACTGTGGGTCTTGAAGGATTGTCCTGACATTCGTGTAGGAGTCTTTGTAAAATGCATACAGCATCTGTCTAGTTGTATTTGCCATGTCAACAACTACATGGTTGACATTTTCCTTAGGCATCATTAACATCTGCTCAAAGAACATCGTGGACGGATAATCTAAAACGAGAAAACATTTTCAACTTCATCAACATGCTTAAACATTGTCCACATTGTTAACGTTGATCAAAATGACTTGCGTATGTCCGATGCATCAAAAGGGTGTCTATGTCTGGACAGAGAAAAACGTTTTCTACATCTTGTAACTTGGAGATATGATTTAAGTATTCAAACACTAAACAAATTGATGAAGTGACACTAAGATGTTACACTAAGCTTAAAATGCCTGCAGTAATATGGCACTAATACAGGTTTGTGCCTCCAGTAAGAGCGGACTGAAAATTGGTTGGCATAAGCATCAAACTTTCGACAGTCAAGCTTGCTTAAATATGATTGAAATAAGCTGACACATGAACTTACCAATATTCAAATGTTTAAAAACACGGCGTAGCACGCCTGCTGTATTGTTTCTGTATTCTTCGGTACGAATGATCAATAGTTGTTGTCTTGGAAACACTCTCAACCAATCAGTGATGTGTATGTCATAAAGTGCCATACGAAGTCTCATCTTAAATTGGAGAAAAGGTTATAACAACAATTTTAAATGCTCGAGGAACAACCTTGTTTATATAAAAAAAAATGGTTGGCTATGCATAATTATAATATGAGTTTTCATCGGGCAAATAAATAATGAAACGGTATTATTAAAAAAGTAATGTTATGGGGAATTAAGTTATAATTGAGCCTTTTATACTTAATGTACATACAATGTGTACAGAATTGTTAAAGTAATAAAATAGAAACCTGAATTGATCCGATTGATTCATTATAGGCACATCCCCTTGGTGAAAAATATTTCAAGCAATCTTTGTATGCGTCAATGGCTTTAACAGCATTCTCATGAAAGTCTTCACGACTTGTATTGTATTTAAAATATTTTGCAAGGTAATGGTAATCCGACCACAGTCTGAAAGGAAATTATCAAAAGTTGATTTCCCATATATACATACATGATTACGTTACTTCCGATTACCAAAACATTATAATTATAATCTAATTAACTCGGTTTTCATTTAGTTTGTGTCTTATGTTAACTGTCAAAGTGATCTAAATAAAATAGCTATCTCCTTTTAATTTGAGATTTCGAGCCGCCATTTTGCTCTCATCTGTATTTTTGTCATTTTAGTGAAATACTGCACCGTTTCTGTTTGTCATGGCGTTCATTAGCGTTAGTGAGTTTTATGGGACACGACAGTTCATTTGTGTTTTATTGAGTTTTATGGGTCATTCAGTTCATTTGCGTTAGTGAGTTTATGGGTCGTTAGAGTTTATTTGCGTTACTGTGTTTTATTGGTCATTTGCGACAGTGAGATTTCACGCTTTTTAATTAAACGTCTGTATTATTCAAAAGTTGATTATCTTTAACATGTAATCATATTTAAAATGTCTAATAAACTTTGCTGCATTTTCAAATAAAAGATGAACATAAACATCAAAAACATTCCAAAACTACTCAAAATATATATAAAAGATCGAACATGAAAGTACAAAGTCATTTTCAAAGCCATAATTTTTCCATCGAAACTTGATTATTTTTCAACTTTATTTCTGATTGACCTGAAAGTGATAGGCCTTTACTACCAGTATAGATCCAGAAATACCTAAAACCATGAATGGAAGGTTCCAAATTAAAAGCTTGAAAAGTTCATTTTATAATTTCGGGAAAGCAGGTTAAAGGTGAGATAGGTGCAATATATCTTAACTTCAAACGTTACCATTTCATGTCGTCTTCGTCAGTACAATACTTTAAAACGTGACAATTTGTTTACTAGCATGCATGAACTTCATAACATCTAGAACATTCTCACTAAGTAAATTGCACTCAATAGAACTGAATAATGATAAAAAATGTAGACTTGTTATCTAATTGGTTTACAAACGTCTAGTAAAATTTAAGGCAAATTATATATCTAAGAAATATATTCTTCCTTTAGAAAGAGCAAATATGAGTTTTATAACGTTTAAATAATGATTTTAGAGCATGTTAGATACTTATCACTTAAAAAAGTAGCACAGAATGTGAAGTATTTTTTCCCTTTCTTAAATACTCTTTTTTAAATTCTAATTGTACCGCTTTATAATACTGGTTGCACCGCTTATAATACTGGCTGCGCCGCTTATAAAACTGACTACACCGCTTATAATACTGGCTGCGCCGCTTATAATACTGGCTGCACCTAATAAAATACTGGTTGCATCGCTGTAAACAGTGGCTGCGCTGCTTACAATACTGGCTGCACCTCATAAAATACTGCCTGCACCACTTAAAATACTGGCTGCGCTGCTTAACATATTGGCTGGACTGCATAAAAAACTGGCTGCACCGCTTAAAACACTGGTTATGCTGCTGCACTGCATAAAATACTGGCTGCGGCACTTAAAACACTGGCTGCACCGTTAAAATATTGGCAGCACTGCTTAAAATAGTGACTGCACTGCATAAAATACTGGCTGTACCGCTTTAAATACTGGCTGCGTCGCTAAAAAATACTGGCTGCATCGCTAAAAATACTGGCTGCTCCTCTTAAAATACTGACTGCTCCTCTTAAAATACTTAAAATTATTTACGATTTACAAATCACTTGATGGGATGTATTAATTGAGAAAAGGACTGGTCATTTTCACCTCAGAAATTTAAAAGAGAAGTCTTAAACGACAAGCATTACCTTTCGACTGGATCGCGGATCAAAGCAATCAACTTCATATCTGGATTAATGCTATATAGGTAGTCAGGATTTGTAAATCTTGGTTCCGTACATCCCTTATTTTCCGGTAATAGATTCCACAGGTCGTTGACTGCAGCTGTGTTAGCAGTAGCTTCACCTAAAATGTGAACAGTGTTAGCAGTAGCTTCATCTAAAATGTGAGCCCTGTTAGTAGTAGCTTTACCTAAAATGTGAACAGTGTTAGCAGTAGCTTCACCTAAAATGTGAACCCTGTTAGTAGTAGCTTCACATAAAATGTGAACAGTGTTTTCAGTAGCTCCATCTTAACTTTAAAATACATGTACAATATCTCTTATGAACAGACTTGTACAATATCTCTCATGACAAAACGTTTACAATATCTCTCATGACAAAACGTTTACAATCTCTCTCATGACAAAACGTTTACAGTATCTCTCATGACAAACGTTTACAGTATCTCTCATGACAAAACGTTTACAGTATCTCTCATGACAAACGTTTACAATTATATCTCTCATGACAAACGTTTACAATATCTCTCATGACAAACGTTTACAATATCTCTCATGACAAAACGTTTACAATCTCTCTCATGACAAAAAAACGTTTACAATATCTCTCATGACAAAACGTTTACAATCTCTCTCATGACAAAAAACGTTTACAATATCTCTCATGACAAACGTTTACAATATCTCTCATGACAAACGTTTACAATATCTCTCATGACAAACGTTTACAATTTCTCTCATGACAAACGTTTACAATATCTCTCATGACAAAAGGTTTACAATATCTCTCATGACAAACGTTTACAATATCTCTCATGAACATACTTCTACAATATCTCTCATGAACAGAAGTTTACACTGTGTCTAATGGACAGACTTTAACCGTATCTCTCATGAACAGACCATATTGCATTTTTCGTAAGACTGTAAGAATTACCTGTAATAATATTGCATTTGGCATCGGTGTTTATTTGTTGTGCTTCACATTGCTTTGCTATTTCATTTGACGTATACGAAAAATATTTCAAATAATCTTCAAATGTCCACTGTTTTACTGAAAAACGACAATGACAAAATTGCTGAGTTTTTTTACGATTTTAACGTGTTATTATTGAATGATATACCAAATAATAGATAGCTTTTACATCGGATGTTTTGCAAACGATAAGTTACATAGATTAACTATTGATAAAAAAAAGTGTAGCGGGGATTATAAATATTTCTTTTTTATATAGAAAAACGATAAATAAATCAAAGATTTTTAAGACCCCCTCTGAGAAAACCTATATTATATTATTTAGCACTGTATTCTAAATTGAGTTCATGAACATATTATGCATATTTTTTGCTGTTTAGAAGATTAGATAAACTAAACGAAAAACACAAAACAACAACAACAACAAAAACAACAACAGCAACAACAAAAATAAAAAACACAAGCAAGCAAAAAAAAAAAAATAGATAAAAATTTAGATATTTATTTAAAGAAAAATAAATAAAAAAGATAACGAAAACAAGAAAAAAAAACAACTTTAAAAGAATTAAACAAAAGGAAAACACCCCACTCTAAAAAAACAACAAAAAACAAAACAACAACAAGAAAACAAACAACAACAACAACAACAGATAAAAACAACAACAACGAAGCTAGATAAGATTTAAAAACAGAACAGAACACTTACTGAAACGTTTATCGTCTATATAATGTGATTCTTTCTTATGTTTTGCAACAATTTGAGGATGTCGAATAAGTCTCTCCCATAAATCAGTGGTGCCACATTTTGGAAATCCAATTATATAGAAGTAAGGAAGACATCGCAATCTTTTCACATTCTTTCTTTCATTCTCGATTGTCACCCAATATCTTTGATAAAAACATGGATTCTTCAAGCAGTTGTGAAACATGTGTGGCGTCTGTAAATGGATGGAGTAGAAAAATTAATATTAAGACATGAAGACGTGTAAAAATCATAAATAATGTATGATATTAAAAACTGATATAATTTAAAATTTCATTTTATTCATGATTTATTAGAAATGATTAATTCACACAAACACGCACGCACGCACGCACACACACACGCACACACGCACGCATATAATACTTACCCTCTTGAAAATAGTCTCAACAGAATACGTACTCCTGTTAGGAAATATTGGATGAAATATTCCAGTCAATTTGCAAAGAGCATTGTTTATATCAGATAAGTTTTCGGAAAGAATTTGTCCCATAACTTCATCTGAATACATATCATTACATGAAAAAGAATGTTTAGTTTTGAACCTAATATATAATGTAAAACCAACACCTAATCCAATTATCAAAAGAATTACCAACTGAAACGATAGGTTTCGTTTTAAACGCATGTCTGTTACTAGATGTATATAAATTTAATTTTGTTTTATATAGCGACTAACAAGGTTTTTATAACAGTTCAATGTCAGTGCAGTTAAGGTGCACACGATTGTACAAGTTAAAGCAAGCATGTTATCTTTATCTAAAGTCCGAATGCCGTCACAGTGATGAATTAAATAAAGGTAAACAATATTTTTTGCCTCGCTAAGTGAAACATAAGTGCAGGAAAATAAAAAATATAAAGCATAAGTCTTTCAAATTTGACAAACAAAATTAAAAAAATGTATTATATTCTAATGGTATTATCAAAAGTGAAAAAATTCTATAATAATTGTAAAGATTTTTTCCATAACCAAACCTACTTTTCTAAGTTTAAACAAGACAAGTCAAAATATTTATTAGCATAAACATATATACATGTTTTTCGCCACGTGACTGATTGTAGGAAACTGTTGAACTATGTTTGAGTCAGCTTGGTTATGTACACAACGCCTTTATTTGTTAAAGATATACTATGCTAATCTTTGAATAAAATACTTTTATGACAGAAAGTTAAAGAAATGTAGAATAGTCTTACTGAAAAAGGTTTTATTTGAATGAGAGAATGTGCAAATAATGCATGGAAAGCTGCATTCCCTATTACCTGCAAAGCTAAGGTGGTCCTTATTAAAAATCTGCCAGGTTTTTTAATGCCACTATGTATCTATACTGTGTTAAATATGAACTTTTGATGTTCACAAGGTAAAAATATATTTCGATCTTTCACTAAACTAAACAGATTTTCTTTTTATTATATGCAAATAAACGTTTTAATTAAACCTAATACTGAATGAAAAGCGCACCAAATAATAATACAACGTGGCGTCATTTACGACGTCATGCCATTAAGTTGGTTCCTAGTCTGTCCCATTAAAAATGGAAATGAACTTTTGCCTGGTATGAATTAATAAAAACACGTTGAATAAAAATTAAAACTTTTTTGTAAACTAAAAAAAAGTCACCCTCGAGATTTTTCAGGATTTTTCTCTAAAGTGTCTAATTTTCTTGTAAAAGCAAAGTTTCATTTCTCTACGGCAAATCTCTGTTGTTTATTTTCCGTAGCCATTGCCGAAGTACTCTTCATTTGAAGATGAACGGGAGAAAGCACGTGTCATGCTTCTAAAATGTACATGATGTTCTCGGGGTCGTTTCATGATTATTTTACAAAGCTGTATCTACAAGATGTAACAGTTTCGTTGCAATGCATGATAGAAAACTTTACAAAAATGAATAACAAGCAACAACTTGAACAAGATCATCGAGTCTGTGGAGTAGATCTAGAAATAGCACTTACTTTTAAGCTGAATATAATCAGTAGTAGTTTCGAAATAGATCTTTATAAACGTCACGACAAATTCGCATTCTGAAGATCACTTCATTGCCAGTTTAGGGTAAAGTGATCGTAAGTCGGACACGATCCAAAGTCGGACATTTTTAGCTGTTCATTAAATGTTGTTAAAACGTTTCTAACATGCCAATAAGTGCAGTCAAACCAACCTTAACATTTAAACCGTGCATAGTTGTCTTTCTTGTCAGCGTGGCTTACTTCCTGTCTTTCTGAATATTGTTACTATAAATAGCTCTATCGGCGCGAAATTTGAAAATCTGGATTCCAGAAAAAGTAAGACTGGTCTTCCTATTTCAGTGGTTTAAAGTATTAAAAATTAAAGAATGCATATGTAAATATATATCAACTATACAAGTATACATGTTTAATTTGTGTTCTAAACTTGTTTAATTATTTTGCCTCGTATTTCTTTTACCTTTCCCCACCCGGCGTAGGAACCAAATTAGATGTTAAGTCGGACAATCAAAATTGAAAATTCGATGTTAAGTCGGACACTGTTCAAAGTAGGTTCTATTGAAATAATTACCCATTGTTCTATACATGACTGTATCTACAAGGTCTAGTTTTATTCTTTATAACAACAAAGAGCGGCCGCTGAGCGTATAGGCCTATCTAGTAAAAGAAAGATATTTTTAAGCTTCCTATATTTTTTGTGATACAATAAATTCATCATTGTATTTATTGAAGCTTAATATCAAATGACATTACATCTAGATCTATAGTTAGATAATTGATTGAAAAAAAATGTCTTCAGTGTTCGATATTTTTTAATATAGACAAGATACAATTCTGACAAGACATGCGCTCTACGAATAGACGAAAGGATAGGCGGATACCGCGCTACATGAAATTTAATTAGGCTCTTGTCACTGCTTCCTTTCTATCATTATTCTAGATCTAGAGTTCATATATATTCATGGTTCATTAATACTTACGCTATATAACTTCTTTCTAAAATGTGATATTTGGTATTCGTGTTTTCAAATAATGTTAGATATCTTTATGTCAAACATATGTTCACCTCATTACTTAGCTGCTTTTTTCTTTGTTTTACAATTTAAATGGTTTCTTAGTTTCAAAGTGTTACCAACTTTAACTTTGTTATTGCTTGGTTGTAACTGGTATACGTATGTATACGTAAGCAGATACGTTTTTAGCATGCACCCTGGAGCCAAACTTGTATTAGATTAGTCTCAATATTTCGACGGCAAGACAGACCGATTTTTTAATCTGATATTTCATAGATGTCTGTCGCAAAGGGCGACTATCGTATATATAAAAAAAGCCATAAAGCGCACAATTTGTTGGGCTAGTATTAGATCTACCTGAAACATAAAGGTCCTAGTCGCCATGTCGGCTTGTGTTACCTGCGTCGTGAAGACGCACAGAAACTTAAAATGATACACTTATGTTCAAAGCTTCGCTCTTATAAAAAGTCCAATCTACGTTATATAACAGCAATTAATAAAAAAAAAAACAACATAATTACAGAATCTCAGAATCAGGGTTAACATGTGTAAGGCAGACACACTTCATTAACCTGGGAACATATATAAATGAGCCGTGTCACGACAAAACCAACATAGTGCGTTTGCGACCAGCATGAATCCAGACCAGACTACGCATTCGCCGCGCAGTCTGATCAGGATCCACGCTGTTCTCTACTTGTAATATAGGGTTGGTAAGCCAACAGCATGGATCACATTCACATTTTGCCGTAACATATATATTATCATGATTGAACACCTTTCTCTGTTAAAATGACATGTTGCTTTTTTGCTATTTTGTTGTTGTTTTATTTTTTGTTTGATTTTGCTCTGCATGAATTCAAACATATATTAAGAAATTAAATCCCAAATACGTCCTAGACCTTTGTCAGTTCTAAAGTGAAAGCAGTGACAACAGCCTAATTTGATTTCAATTTAGCATATAAATGTGTTACTGTTGCGTAACAATATTCATGCTGTCACAGGTATCTTTCAGAAAATATATTTTATTAGACAAACGAAAATGTTCTAGCTGAACCATCCATACACATAAAATAAAACAGCAAATTTCGACCCTCTCCTCCGAGGCTCCGAATGTGATATTTTCTTCAACCAAAAAGCATATTGTTGTTTAGATGTTGTGAGAAAAACAGGAAATTGTGTACGTTTCTAGCCTTTGGGTGGGAGAGTGGGGTTCACGTACGTCTTACCAACGAAGAATTACTAAAGTCATATTGCGTTGTCCGGAGCCAGCTTTACCAGCTTTACTGATAGAGGAAGACGTCAGGTGCCCCTCTGTACGTTATTTCAGGCACAAAAGAGCAACTAAGTAGAACAAGCGACATTCCGTAAGCTAGCTTGATAGCTTTCTCACATGTAGAAACCTACGATGCCTGCGTGACTGGAACCAACAAAAATAAATACATAATTGAAATCATTTAAAATGCTTACTGTACAAAAACATTGAATGAGTTCATGTATGTAGCGGCGTATACGCCTATTTTTACGTTTATGCGTCGGCTGCATGTTTTGTCAGATTTGCATGTTGTGTCTATTACCCTGAAGACACTTTTTTCAAAATAAAATATCACGGTAACGTCAATATTTAAGTGTTTCATTTACACCTTCAAAAAATAATTTTAAACACACTTAATGGCATGAATCTATATGACAGAATACCTCTTCCATTAATTCACATATAACCTTCGTTTTGACTTTATGTTTTTAAACTATTTTATATATTTCTCAGAAATAATTTCCCTACAAATTATCTCGTTATTCAAGAGTTCTGTAAATCCTACTCTTTTAGCTACAAAATATAAACTCTATGCGGTGTTATTTTCTCTCGCGAAAAAATATAGCTATTGTTTTTTCACTGAATATTTTCAAATTTTAGGAAGGCTATAATTATTTAGGACATCACTCTGTGTTTCTCTTTGACTCGATATCCCCTTCATATTAACATAGTATGTAACACTTTGAGTCTACAAAAAAAACTTATTGTCCCTGATTAAACGCTCCAGTTCAATCTTATTCTTAATAATATCAAACACTGCCGGTATTTCTGGACATTTTGTTAAATTATGAGACGGAAAATTAATCTGTATTTACAAGCTTAAAGTGTATAGGCCAACGTTTGGTTGCTCAAACTAGAAAGCATTTTTATATTCTTATAATTTACATTTTTCTTCGCACGCGAGTCTGTGTTCTCTCATTAGCAAATGAGCTAGTTAAAGTAGACACTGTGCAAAACAATACTAAACATATGGTGAATCAGTTCCCCTTTCTATATATTTCTTGTCAGATTTGCATGCTAATGTTATATTTGTTGGCGATTTATACGTCAGGTTTCTGTTGTGAAAGTTAAAACCTACGAAAAGTTTTAACGCACGAACATCACACCCGAAATAAGAAGGGTAACATATTTTTGTATCCCATCGGACCTGGTGAATTTAATTATTTTTAAATATACGTGATACATACTAATGGACAGTATTCAGACAACTACAGAATTATGTTAATTAAACATTAGCGAAGAACCATTTTTTCAGTCTTCTAGCTAGTGTTCCCGTTCCCTTACGACGCGTTGCGGTATTCAACATACGCGCTTGATTGAAAAGCTGTCTAATCAAATCACTTCATAATATTGCTCTTTTTCTCTTAAAAAGAATATAAAATATGGTAATTATATAATTATATGAATCTTTGTGTGTTATAATTTATAAAGCGGTTACTGATATTTCACTTCAAATGATTTTAAATTGATTATTTTAAATAATGGTTTGCTAGTAAAATTGCCTTTTCGACACCAACTTTGTTCTCATTTTTCATTTTAATGATAACATTTAGCTATTGATCAGTAAGTAAATAAGAATAATCATTTTTTTTATAATTAACGAGTACATTTCACGCTAATTGTGAGACGAACCCTAAATGACGTCTGTATGGGCGCCGCCATTTTGAAATGGACGTCACGTCAGG